GTTTTGCGAGCCTGAATACTTACTAACATCATTAAATAGGTGTCATGATGCTGATGATCAAAAGTCTACCAAATATCAAGGGCTCTCTATTAACGCCTGAGCCCATAGCCATAGCCATGCAATTGTCCATGCATGCATTTCTTCCTGCGCAACCCTGCTACCCTCGCGAATCCCAAACCCTACACCCAGAGGGTTGCCCTGAAAGCCCATGGCCCTGACCATGGGCCTGACCAATGGAGCAATGAGCAACTACGTGCCCTGACCCTGGAGCAGTGCCGTAAGTTTGCTGGCATTCTCAGGCAGGCTGAGCTAACAGGTGTTGTCCCCCACCAGTGGGTCATCACCCAGGTTATTCTCTTACCAAAGAATGAAGAGGTGGAGCGCCCTATCGGGTTAATGCACACCCTGCACAAGGCACTCCTCAAACTCCGGTATTCGCTGGTCAATGCATGGATTGAGGAGGTCAAGCCCACCCTTTAATGGGACTCAGCCATACCGGGGACCTCCACGATTGATGTCTCACTCAGGAGGATCATGTGCTTTGAAAATACGCACGCTGCCAGGGGCGGCACAGAATTTCCATCTTCATCGATTTACGGACATTTTATGAAACCAGTGGTCGAGCAGTTCGAGTTGGGTTTGATGTGGATGTACAGAAGTCAACGTGGCTGCTGTAAGGGTTGAGTATATAGGTACATATAGTCGCACGCTTGTATAGTCCAAGCCGAATTTAGCAGTAGTCTATAAAACACACCGAAACCCTAAACCCTAAACCTCTGAACCCCTAAACTCCTAAACCCTACACCCCTAAACCCCTAAATCCCTAAACCCCTAAACCCTCAACCCCTAAACTCCTAAACCCTAAACCCTAAACCCTATTCTACGAGAAGTATGGAGGCCATGATCTTAGCAGCAGAGTAGGTCACCTCGAAGGTTTTCCGGCGGACTGTAAACTCAAGGGTCCGTGTACCCAACTAGTATACTTTGGCCAGAAAGTTTCTATACAGAGACGACTTTAAGGACCAGAAGTATTTCAAGTTTTGGGTACATGGACCTTTTGGGTTTGCTCACTCAGCCCCTAAACCCTGAACCCCTAAAGCCTAAACTCCGAGACCCGAAACCCTAAACCCCTAAACCCTTAACCCTAGGCATCCCTTTGTAGAACCCCTTTTGGGTAAGCTTCGGCGCCCTGAAACCCTTATAAGGCAGAATCCGAAACCTGCCACCAAGGTTTCGTCACAGACCGGAGTTGTGGTGCTGGGTCTAGCGGTTTAGGGTTTAGGGGTTTAGGGGTGTAGCGGTTTAGAGCTTTAGGGCTTAGAGTTTTAGGGGTTAGGTTTAGTGTGTGGGGTTTAGGGTTTAGGGCTTGAGATTTTAGGTGTAGGTTTTGAGGTCGCGGTGTAGGGGTACGGGCTCTACCTTCAGGGCTCTACCTGTAGAGTTTAGGGTTTAGGGCCTAGGGTTTAGGGTTTAGTTTTTACGGTTTAGCGTTTAGGGTTTCTACTGTAGTCTCCGTTGTTGCTCCTTTTCTTAGTTCCCCAAGATCGAACCTTTAAACTTGTCGGTTAATCTGAAAGTTTAACCTTTTAGTTGCCTGGCTTGTTGGGGAAGTAAGTTTTGGGGGGTGACCTTATAGCCCTAAGGGTCCAAGTACCAAAAAATCATATACTCTTCTGAATACTAACCTACAAAACTACTATCCTAAACCCTAAACCCTAAACCCTCAAACCCCTAAACCCTAACCCAAGTAGATGATTATTAGGTCCTTTGGACCCTTAGGGTAGGATCCCAGCTTGAAAATGGGTTAAACCAAACATTAGGAAGTACAGCGGAGACTAACTCGCAGCCTGAGCCCTAAAAGCCCAAAGGAAGCATAGGGTCTTGGGGTTGATTAGGGTTTAGGGCTCAGGGTTTAGAGTTTAGAGTTTGGGGTTTAGGATTTAGAGTTTGGAGTTTAGGGTTTAGAGTTTAGGGTTTAGAGTTTAGGGTTTCGGGCTTAGAGTTTAGGGTTTAGGGCTTAGAGTTTAGAGTTAGAGATCTAGGGTTCAGTAGCTTGAGGGCTGCAAGCCCCTAGGCACTTAGTTTCGTGTGCAGCTCTGGAGCTTCTCGAGCTGGATCGTAGCATCGTGCCCGCTTGGTCCTTAACTATCTATATCTGTTCTATACCTATGTGTGTATATATATATATATACATATAGGTTGCTCTTTGGAAAACTCTTTGACTTCCCTTATGGTCCCTACGGAGGTACTTATTCATAAATAATTGAGGGGGGCAACAACCCAATATATATATATATATATGCACATACAGATAGATAGACAGTTAGATAGATATATGTATATATATATATACATATATTTACATACATGTCATATGCATATAGAAAGTTTGTCTGGGGTAGTATTTTGCCGCATGCACCGTCATTGGATCCATTAGTTCCCCACTCCTAAGTACCTCGGTGGGAGATCGGATGCTTGCACAAGGCTAGTAGGAATTGCCCGTATGGGCGCCCTGCCATTGCTTCAGCAATGTAGTGATAGCATCCGAGAATTTGAATTTGATTAACGTCGTTCAAACTCGACACCCCAGAATGGTATATCACAGCTTGTTAAAGCCCTCCCACCCTACCCTTAAATCCAAAAGCCTCAAACCTTAAACCGTCTTAAACTCTGAGCCCTAAACCGGTCTTACTCTGTTTGTTCATGCCAGCTCGAAGAGCTCTGTAATTCTTCTTGCCCTCATGGAAGAATGTAAACTTCTCTCATCCAATCATCTTGTAAAAGTTCAAGCCCGACGGTTTAGGGTTTAGTGACAAACGACAAGACAGAAAACGAGACGAAAGACCCGGGACCCTGGCCTAAACCCTTCTCAAGCTTAGAACCTCCCCGGCCCCAGAAAACCCTTAAGAAGAACCCCGCACCCCCCGAAGGGGGGAGATCCTTTTCACAGAACCAGAGCAGCCTCAGAAGGCTCGATTTGTGCTGTCATCCTGCAGCAGGGGCTAGTCGATTTGCGCTGTCATCCTTGCAGCAGGGGCCGTGCTAGGCTTTGGTTTTACACAGATTAAAAATCTTCCTCCCTTTCAGGAGGTTTCGCATGCTCTCTGCACAAAGGGTAAACGAACATAGCTGCATATGGTCTTCCACCATGAATCCGGACATTTTGGTTTCGTGAGTATGTCAGCTAGTTGATATTCTGTTTGCAGCCAATAAAGCGGGATACGGTCGCGCACCTTCTCCAGACTAAAGGACTGCCTCAGAGCCGCGAGATCGATGGCCAGACGCTTGTCTGATGGCACTCGCGGCACCCCCTCGCGATGAAGGTGATCGAATAATGATTTGCAATCTGTTAGGCACCTGAGCTTTGAGCCAGCAAGAGCTTCGACCCTCTTCAAGTCGCCATGCAGAACAGTTTCCACAAACGACCTGACGTACTGGCCCATCTCTATAGCTTCCGAACATGCGGTCGTCTCAGCTGCAAACGTCGATCTACAGACACGTGGGTTTGCAGAGGATTTCCAGTCAATGATGCTGGCTTGTCCCCCACCACTTCGGAACCCTTGGGAATCAGTCAGAGCAATGAGGATGCCCAGCTGGCTTGCCACCTTGGAGTTCTCCTTTTTGGCCTTCCGAGCCTTCCTGTCAAAAGGCCCTTCCGTCATGGTCCCGTTCTTGTGATCTTCAGGACTCAGGATAAAGTGCTCTTCGCCCTCCAGGAGTGCATTGGCCCATGCTGAATCATGATAGACCAAATACTCCAGTGAAGAAAGGTCCAGAGGACGAAGCCAAACACCCTTGTCCCTGTGCTCCCAAGCCCTCTTAGCGATTCTGTTGCTAAACTTGATGTCCTCGACTGTCGGAGTTTTCTGAAGCTGTTGCGCTAGGGAAACACTGCATTGTAGGTCCGGCCTGGTTTGAGCACTGAGCCACGAAAGCGCACCCACCAATGACTGATTATCAATCTGTTGGGCTTCTGTCGCTTCCTCTAGCTCATCTTGACCCCTAGTCACCTCAACTTCGAACAACCGGGAGCTCGCATAGGATTCTTGACCAATGAACACACCCTCATCACCGACCCTGACATGCGAGCCAATGTACTCAAAGGTATCATCTTCCCAACCATCCACCGGAAAAGCACAAGACAATGCCTCTTTGATGCATCCCACAAGTCCTCGTGGTCCCACCACCAGCAAATCGTCCACATGTACACCAACATAGGCTAGTGGCTTTCCAGACTCGGGATCACAAAGCTGAAAGAGACACGGGTCAAGGGCGCATTGAACAAACTGGAGGCTCTGTCCTTCGAACTCAATCTTGATGCTCATCATATCTCGCCTCAGTTTGCGCCACCATTTCCTTGGTGAATCCGGCAATCCAAAGATCCCTTTCTTAACCCTGAAGATTTGATCTGGTAGAAGATCCTGCACTCCACCCTTGGGTTGTCGCAAGTACAGCTCTCTTTCAAGAGGATCTCCATTCAGGAATGCCGCAGTGATATCCCCTGCAGATGCCATCCAATCCAGCTTCTTGCGGCGACTTGCCACAATCTGGAGCAGCGTCAGGATTGTAAGTCTTCCGATAGTAGGTGCATCCGTTTCTAAGTGCGGGATATCAGGATCTTTATGTCCGGACACAACCAGACGGGCTTTGTGCTTCCAGGGAACATTGGCATCGATTTTGCGACGACTCCAGTGTTTATCGCGATAAGCGAACCTCGATGACAATATGCGACTACTGTGAACACGCCCTTTGATCTCATTCGACTCTTCAACAGACAAAGGCTCGAGAGCACCATGATCATAATGTTCTTGAATCTGCTTCTGTTCTGCTGCACGGAAAGCTGCATGTTCTCCAAGAGGTACTAATTTCCACGGAATCTCCTTTTCCAGTTGTTTCTCGAGTGCTCTTTCTGTTTGGCAACGTTTTAGCATGTTCACAGAGTGCTCTGGCCATCCTGGTGTTTTCTGTCGAACTCGCCTAGGGACTACAGGTGGAGCCGCATCGCCATCACGTTTAGCACCACGAGGTCCATCACCAGGTTCCCCCGGCACATCATCAAATATCCCTTCACCTGGTAAGCTCGGCTCATAATCCATGTCCTCCAGGTCATCGTCTGGAACTGGTGGAAGTTCTTGTGCTGGATCATCCAATCCTTGCATTTCGCAGTCTGGCGGGTCAAAGGTTTCTGGGTCATCGGGATCAAGTTCTAGGAGCCTTTCAAGGTCGTCTCGGGCTACACGAGTGGAGAAGAGCTCACCCAGCTCTTCAGAGGTCGCTGGTCTTAGGTGTTCCTCGGCAACGAGATGACAGCGCCCACCGAACGAGACCCACCAATTACCACCCTCATGTCCGATGATAGTTCCCGGTCCTCGCCACTGACCGCGTTTGGTAGCGATCTTCTCGGTTCTGTAAAAGCACACGAGCTCGCCAACGGCATACCCACCTCTCTTCACACGTGCCCTCTGAATCATCCCTCTACGGAACTTGGAATCGATCTGCGTCCTGAAAAAGGCCATACGTGCCGAGGCCCGAATACCGACTTCCCGTTGTCGGCGCTGGTCTCCCGACATGATCTCGATGAACCTCTCCTCGTCGACGCCCGAATCCAGTTCCTCAGGTGACTTAGGGTCCTTGCCGAAGACGGCCTGGGATGGGGAAAACCCGTGTCTACGACGAAGTTCATTCTTTGCCGTGTTGACTGCTTGAACAGCCATGTACATGTCGTCCTTTGTGATGGACTTCTCATCAATGACCCTCTGGAGTATCTCCTGGTACCAGTAACCATGACGTTCAATCACCCCTTGTTGCCAATGTGCCTGTCCGGCCGATGACCTCAAACGACACCCATGGAACTCTGCGTACTTGGACACACCGACCTGCAAACCGCTCTCAAGATCAGCAGAAATAGTGCCCGGTGCTCCAAACACGTTTCCCCACAGCTGCGTAAACTGTCTAATTACAGAAGTCCTCACCGGAGTGCCCCTCGAGCTCGCAGACCAAATGAAACGTAGTGGCGTGATCAATGACCGAGAGGAACTCGTGTCTGACCCTTTCCGAGTCGAAAACCGTGAACACATCTATGCTGACAACCTGGTTCATGTCCAACAGAGAGGGAAGAACTCCGGGCCTTGCGCTCCCAGTTCTCTGATTCCTACTGCAGACGTCGCATCTCATTCCCTTGCACGCCTTGATCACGGACTCCTCTGCACCAGCAAACCTCAGATGGCGAACAAGGTCAGTGACCTTCGGATGTCCTAGGTTTTGATGAAGTCGGGTAAGAGCAGATTGGACATGCTTCGGAACATTCTTCTCGAAATGGATCGCTGAGGCTCCTAAGTGATCATGTCGAACCCTTCCATCATCATGAGAAATCACAAAGGCCTCGTGTTCCGGGTCACCGTCTTCTTCAGGTAGAGGATCAGCATCACGTGGTGGTTCGCCAACACGAAGTATTTGAACATCACCTCGGACTTCAATGGAGTGGGAGCTTGCGTTCATGAGATGCCTCATGGCACTGTGGTGCCAAACCGGGTCACTTCTCGTGGCTTGGTAGGCTGCTGTACCTCCATACCCAAGTTGTTGTTGGATAGTGTCCATCACCGCATCGATGTGGGAAACACTGCTAGCATCACCTTGAAACCAAACAACATTGGGCTTAAGGTTTTCGATCACCCTGAACACGTTCAGTGCGCAGTCCTCGTTAGCGAAGTCATCCCAGCTGATAGGCTCAACTGCATGAAAACCAGCCTCGAGCACATCCAGGGTCAGGTGATTGTCCCCGATTTCAAGAAGACATGCCTGATGAGGCGGCTTACTGCTTGGCATCACCTCCGAAACATAGGAGGTGGCAGCTGCGAGGCCGAGGGTCAAGAGTGAGCTCGCCCTGCGCGCCCCCTTCCAGAGACTTCGTCTAATACTCTTCTTCGGTCTCACCTCATGCTCTCTCTCCCACGCTTGTGTTCCTTCACTTCTACCAAGAGGAAAACCACAGCTCCGAAGAACGTCCCTTTCCGGCCTAGAAAGCTCGCCAAGACCACGGGTGGTGTAGGCGATGATGCTGCATCTCGTTCCTGACCACCGCTCAACTGCATGTTTTGTTTTGGGGTCAAACTTCGTCATCTTGTGCTTCGTTTCGACCAAGTAACCGGAGGCCTTGGAACCATCAGAAAGGATAACCTCGTGGGGCTCGTGGTCGATGGAAACCTGGGTCGTGCTGTCATGTTCGAGCCAAAGCCGCCCATGTTCGAAGTTCCCAAAGGAGATAGCCCAGTTAACACCGGTGTTATGTGCATCTTTATGGGGCCCAGTATGACAGTTGAAACAGAGTTGCACACTACTCCATTGTCCTTTGGCTCCATAGAAACGCATAAACGCATTCATATACTTGGTGGTGTACCAGTGTTGGTAGGTGCTTTTGATCACACCATAGTGGTTCCCATGGGAGTAGCCGCCGAAGGCCACACTGCACGTACCCTCATTGATCTTTCTTTTTCTTCTGGCCTGGCACTCTATGCACACTCTCGAGAGGAGGGATTCACACGCCTCGAAGCTGAAATCTTTTCGGTTGAGGAGTTCTCGAGCTTGTTGTTCATGGGATATCTCTACGGTCTGAACCGAGGCGTGGGGAACAGCCTCCTGGCATTCATAAAAGATCTCCCCTGACGTGACATCCTCGCCACGTGCCCCGGGAAGAACATGAAGGGCTGGAGAGTCGACCTCAAAGTCGGGTTCACTGGAAGACTCTTCGGCTGCTAGGGCCTTGCCATCCTTGTCATCATGACTCACAGGTTGTAGCGATCCTTGAGTGCCGCCAGACGTCCCATCAGCTCCTCGATTTCGGCTTTGGCCTCTGGCGGAGGTTCCTGTTGCATGCGATGGCTCTCCACGGTCTCCTGCGGCCGCTTCGGCGCCGCCTTCGGGAGAAAGGGCCTCTGCTTCACATCCGCGGTCTCGTTCATGGATTTGGCCGCAGCTGTCAGAGCAGACCATTCGGATTCCCAGGTCGAGCTCACGGACGCATCGTCCGGAGGTATTGGCACGGCCGGATTGTCCTCTGGATTGTAGCCCTTGATCTCCTTTTTGATCAGAACTGTCTCTGCATAGGAGGCCAGGTTGACCAAGTCTTGGCTGCATCCGTCCCGGCCCTTGGCTATGACCTCCATCACACACCACTCCAGGTACGATTTTGGCACCTCCTGGAACAGTTTGCCCGAATGGCGACCGAACATCACAACCGAGTTGCCCTTTCCAGTGGTCACTGTATCCCGGATCAGGAGCTGCATGTGTCCCTTCGTCGCTTTCGCTGGCGGGACGATCCCCAACTTGGCGCATTCCTCCGCCAACTGGTCCTTGGTCATGGACGCGAGCCCCTTCGGTACCGTTCCGGATTCCGTGCTCTCCTTCCTCTTGTCCGATATGAGCTGTCGCACTTCCCCCGTACTCCAGCTTGGATGCGTTGTTATCCCCAGGCGGGCTGCTTCCGCTAGGAGCTGCACCTTGTTCATCTGCCAGACGTTCTTCGGAGGATCGCCCGAGGAACTTGCCATCGACATCAGAAGACCCCGCGGGAGGCTCAGCGGGGGAAGCACAAGGAGGGGCCCTGGAGAACACGGTCCTACCGACCCATAGAACCGGATGAGGAGCTTGCGGATCACTTCGCCATGCATCGTGGATCATCAAGAGCTCTCTAGAATCTCTACATGACACCGCCGAGGTAATTCTGACTTCACCAATTGCACC